AACAAAGTTAATCCACATGCATAAAATGTATCTGTAATAAAGTCTTTTGATTGAAATATTCTATTCATAAGATTCAGTGTCTAATTTGGTAATAAATGAATAATAAATAGAATGCAAACACACAAATGCAAATATCAAAAATCAAAATGAAGCCTTCCACACTTATTCAAACTAACTGACAATAGATAATGCCTTACTATGGCAATTCCTCAAATAGTATCTCTCTCCAGGTATTTATACAAATTTCAATACTGTAAATATATATTTCAAATTAACAGCTGTTTGTCATCTACTCATAAGCTGCTAAAGCATTCTTTTTAACTACTAAATTTATCACAAGAAATTTTTAAATTGTTATTGACAGTATCTAGCATTTGAGAGACTTTATTTAAAGTGGTGATAGTGGCTTCTTCACATTCATCTTTCTTTACCATCATCTCCATCCTAGTCTTCAACAGTTCCGTCTCTTTTTCGTGCTGCTTCTTCATTATTTCCATCTTGGCTGCCAACGTTTTCATTTCACTACATGCTTTATTTGCATCTTGTGCATGTGGTACTCATCTTGCCTTTTCTCGCACAGCTCATACACATTTTTAGCATTCTTGCTTCACGAGCCACTTTCCCAGCTACGGTATGTAGATAAAAAAAATCGGAGATGGATCAGCTGGAGGTGACTACCCTAAGTGGTAGTGAAACTGGAGCTGGAACTGTGACAGCTGGAGAAGCAGCTGATGATGCTTGTGGTTGATGGATGTCAACAGTAACTAAAATAATGATGAATGTATAGACATAAACATACATTTAGGTAAAAAAGTAAAGGCCCTAATACACATACATTTAAGTCCACTTGCCAAAATACAAAGAGAGACCTATCAGGTAATTGTAAAAATTAAAAAAGAATATTTGCTGTCTCATCCACTGGGTGACGTAAAAGTTTCAAAGGCATCATCAGCCATTAAAAGTTCAGGTCCAATGAGTGGCTCAGCTCTGGAATTGCCTCTGGTCGTCCACTACCAGTTTTCCTGATTTTGCATCTGTATTGCATATCCTTATTTCTTCTGCAAAACATTGAACCTATTATGATTATCCTAAATAATTATGAACTTGATTAACATTTTCATAATAAGGCTTCATACGAAGCATTTCTCTCTAACCTGAATAACAGAACAAATTTAAGAGATATTTTAGCATTTAAAGTTTACTAGTCCAGGTTATTGGTTATTTCAAAGTCTATTGGTTATTATTTAATTTGAGAAAAAAAGTTTTTTTTTCACATGTTATACTGGGGATTTTCATATAAGATTGATATATGGTTTGTTCAGCTTAATTATATCAATGTTGGATATGATAAGTAATTTATGGAATTTGATATAATATACGAACAAACAATTATTAATTAAATATTAGGCCACGTTTATCATATATTTCAAATTTAATATTTTCTTTCCCGCCATCAAGGTAAAGTTTGGGCGCCAAAATTTCCTCTATCTCCGACTCTAGCTTTTTCTTTGCGTGATACATTTGTACATTTCTTAAGATCCAGAATGCTTTATTATTATTTATTATTAATATCATTTGTCGTTACTTTTACTATTACTGACACTTCAAAACTAACGAAGATTATAGTGTTTTTAATGTAGAGTAAATAGATACATAAGATAAGATAAGTTGAAAAGTATATTTTAAACGTCCTGTTTTGATAATAATAATAAAAAATAATGATGGTTGCTCAGAGCTACTGTCAAATATTTCAGATTGAATTACTTACTTTCTTTTTGGTGTATTCAAAACATCTTCGTAGCTGCTTCACAGATCATTGCGTTTCTTCAGGGTTTCTGGCGTTGAAGCAAGCGTTTAGTTCTTCCCAGGCTTTCCTCTTCTTCTCATTCAAGCCGAGGCTTGAGCTCTTGTCTTGAATGACTGGCCGTTCTTCAACCAATTGTAATAAAACAATTCTCTGGCACTCAGAAAGCACTGGAAGGCGGTCCATTCTGGTTGGCGCGGAAAGTCGAATGGCGCCAAATACGAAAAACAGCAAGGAAAAGGTCCGAAACGTTGCAAGCAGAGACGATAACGATTGGTGCATAACATTCATAATTTAATTTCCGTGTTTTATTGATAAAATATAAAATATATATGGATATGACTTTCGGGATCGTCCTTTTGCAACCCTAACACGAAACTTCGTGCAAACGAATACAACACCGGGATCGCGATGGACTAGGGATATGGTAAGAGAAAAAGCCAGAATCCCTCGGCCATTTCGTACTCAGGTGTCACAGGATATGAGCTATTAGCTTTTCCTCGAACAATAAATAGTACTAAACCTTACGACATAGGATAGGTCTAGGCTACCACTGCGTTTGGTAGATTATAGACGAGATTGACGTTAGTAACAAGTGTTGCAACCATTGTGGCTAGCTGAACGCCACCTGTTACATTATTTGCAGAGGTTTGAGCACAAACAATTTCTGCAAAAAGGACTTCCACCAAAGCCGCTATGCTGGTAAAAAAAGAAAAAAATATGCCTAAATTTATTGATCTTAGGATAAAGGAGGTGAAGTTAAATTTGATAAACGAAAGAAAATATTCTTTTTCATTTTCTATTATTTTAACAAAAATCAAACATATGGACAAGAAAACTATGTCCCAGGTTATTTGAATAAACCCTACAAAAATACCTACATGTCAAAATCAAAGAACACATTAAAACGTTCATATAAATGAATTTTCAATTCAATAGCTGTTTCTTCCTGTTTCTTGATTATGAGTAATAAATAGATTAAATTGTCTTCAAGATGGACACTTCTCGCCCCTATGGAATGCTATCGCCCACCCACTGGGGGTGTGAGATAGCAAACAGCACCAACGTGGGACTGCCCAGTCCTTTGCCGACTAGGGAGCTTCACTTGCAACACCCAGCCCTAACAGTGGAGATATAGACCAGTTCCTGTAGCAGGCGCCACTGGTGGCCCTGGTGACACGTCATGGCAAATCGCTCGCTCGTTTCAGGCACTTTCACACTAACACCTTTTCCGTCAATATTTCGCCTTTCTTGATGGACTTTCTGCAGGGAAATTGATTGACCCTATCTATCTAGGCAGCAAACAACCTGTGTAAACAAATATTGCGCCATCCGATTGAGGTCCTGGGAATCACAAGAGCATTCTTATACATATGTTATTTGAAAGGATTTAAATTTGTATATAGAAATGTTAGAATTTAAACTTATAGGATTATTTAAGACAGCACATTTTATGAAAAAATCATATTTAAATTCGTGACCTGGTTTTGTAGTTCAGGACCTCAAATTCGCTCGCTTTTCCGCAATGATTGATTTCGTCTAAAATCTGGTACAGATCATTTGTGATATTATCAAATCAATTGAGTATATGTTAAGGGTATTCTGCGCTTTTGCCGAGATATTCAAATTTTTTAAGAACATTTTAAGGATTTCTGGATTTTTTAAAGGATTTCTAGGTAGGGTGTACGAGATTTCCTAAGAGAAATTTCCCTCGACCCAACTTTCAAACCTGTTTAAAAATTGGACGTTTCATTATCATATGCTTTGTGACTGTCTACCAAGTTTCGAGCAATTTTATTGGCCTGTTGTGCACACAAAGATTTCTCAGTACCTGCCAATATAACGGAATCCTTTTTTGGGAAAGCAGTCTTTTATCGAAATGAAGCAAAAGATGTTAGAGAACCGATTACGTCGAAGTCAAGCAATAAGCCTTAAGCGCGGGCTTGATAAAGCATTATATCAATAAAATAGTGGCACAGGATGTTGTGAATGTAGCTGTAAGGTCGTGAGTTTACTTTAATCCCCCAATTTCTATTCCCGCAATATTTTCAGTCAAGGTTGCTCCTTTTAAAAGATTCAGATATCCAGGTAATTGTGGAAATGATCGAGTTGGTTTAAACGATACTCAAATAGTTAAGCCATCACATAATGACGTAAACGAAAAATCGAGATTTTGTCTGAAGGGTCACAGTAACCATATGATGATGATAATGATAATAATTATGCCAAGTAAAAGTGGCCGGAAACGGGTCAGGCGAGCAACCAGCCGCTTAGCCCCAACGCATCACGACCCTCAGTATGAAAATCTTGATAATGATATTAATGATGATGATGATGGCAATGAGAATATGTTAAATTATGGTAATAATAAAGGTAATCCTAATGATGATTACAAAAGTAACCTTAATGGTGATACTTTAAATACCATCATCAATTAAGGAGATAGAGAGATAATGATTATAAAAATAATGAAAAATAAGAAAATTGTTAAAAGCAATGACAATAATAATAAAACATGAAAGGATAATAACAACAGCAACAATAAAACGCCAATAATGATATAATGATAATAGATCATTATTATTACAATTGCTATTATCATCATCATCATCATTATTATGAGTAGTTGTATGTTTATGATTATGATTATGATGATGATAATAATAACAATAATAATAATAGTAATAATAATAATGATTATTATTATTATAGTTATAATAGCAAAAATGATGAATAAATGATGCAAAATATTATCGATAGCAATAAAAACAACAAGAATAATGACCATGATAATAATAATAGTTACTATTAATACTATTTCTGCTATTACTGTTAAAACTATTACTAATGAGGAAATTGATAGTGATAATAATCAATAATAATAGTAATGATAATACCAATAATAATTATAATTATAATACAATTATATTTAATAAACAATAATGTTTAGGATAATAATAATAATGTTAATAATAATAATCATTAGCATCAACAGCATTACAGTAAACCTAATTGCAATAATAACAAAAGAACTACCGCAATACTACTAATAATAGTGATAGTATATGTATCACAATGATACTAATAACAATGAGAGTTTGCAGGAGGGGGGGGGGGTAGGAGAGAGGTCAAGGGAATGGGAGAAAAGAAAAAGGTCAGATTAACAGTTCAACAAAATCAGAATAAATATCCTTACCTTACTGCTATAGCTCTTCTTGCCTGGTCTGAGTGGACATTAATGTTTTCAGGAAATCCCACTAAACGTAACAGATGGCGTTTCAACGAACTGCAGCCTGTCTGTCGGAAAACGTCAAGAACATATATGCAAAGCAAGTTCACAGTTTTCATCCAAATATGGCTGCTGTTGTGAATGAAGAAATCTGAAGTAAGAATAGAATAAGAATAAGTATGACAGGAAAAAATAATAGTCACTCTCCAAATGTGTAAGGAGAGTATCAGACTTTTTTTCACAGAAACTAGTAAGGGGTGGTACAATATTTTCAATATTTTCACAAGCGAATAAAAAACACTCATTTTGCTGACTCCCGCCACCTCCCCTAAAAGCGTAACCGGAAAATGATGACAGACACGAATCTGACATCGACATTTTCATAGAATTTAAAAAAACGTGCGACTGGCTTTCATCCTCTCCCCCTAGC